ATTCAGGTTTAAGAGCTTAAACCATTTTCGAACTACTTTTAATCACTTATTGGACTTATATTGTTGTAGTCTTCTTTAACATCACCTCTTACTAGTGGTTGTTTTCGGCTCCGTAACAATCTGACCACGAAATCCAGAAGTTCAGTGTTCCTGTCCCCAGTGTGCAGCTACGACGAAATTATTTCCGTCGTTCGAAAAATCCAAATTAAAGAGTTGTTCTGGATGATGTTCTTCTAATAATATCGTTGAAGTGTAATATGGACCAGCCAAACACACGAAGAATTGAAGTTTCTGATATGGATGTGATAAAGGAATATTAATCGGAAAGCCAGCGACTGTTGAGGTGTTTCTGTCCAATAAAAGACACTAAAACAACTAGTTTTTACAAACAAACATCGAAATATAGCAGAAATTATGAAAAATCAGGGAAGGCTTATGAGGAACCAGTGGTAATGAAGAGACAAAACGAGTCCAAATAATAAAAAATAGGAGTCGGAGTCGCTTTGCAGGATACAGAATGATACTGTGTCTGACTTGTATGTCACATCCCATAATTATGAGAAAGAAGTACATTAACGGCATAAGAACTATAGCGCATCACTCGTAGCTGTTGTTATGATGGATGAAAAAGATAAAGGATAAACGATAAAGCTTTCGGCGTTGATCTATCTCTGAGGGATGCGCCATGCATTCGACTTCATGAATCATCTTTGGAGGTGATTGATTGCATATCTGAGCTACACTATGACCCACGGTGGCCTACCGATGAATCGAACGAGTGCTACCATTTTCTCAGAAAAGTCTGGTACCAGTTTGCTAACCCCGGTGGGTTGGAGGACTTAGTAGGCCTGGTGCCTGGAGATTGACCGCACTGGTGTTGCAGGGCGCCTCCGATCGCTGCGCTACACGCTCCCGTGATGATTAAATACGAACTACAGACGAAGCATATGGCTTCAAAATGGTGTTTGTACTCTTATTGAACAATTTCGCAATGAATTTACTGCAAAATAAATTACCGTAGATGTTTGCTGTTGCATTTTTGGCATTAAAACCTAGACAACTAATTTCTTTTAACTTGAGCTTGATTAGAAGACCAGATCTCTCTCCCTCACTCGAAAGCTCAACTATCCACCTCGGCGCCTATGAGAACGAGAATAGAAGGTCTGGTATGAAATCTGCGGTTCTTTTCGTATTATATTAATTAACAAAATGAAAAAAGGAGGATTTCGCCTTCCTCAGAGCCGCTTTCTACGAGGTCTCCACTAAGTATGTCACGTAGGTCTCTACGTGAAAAAAGGAGTTTTGTTTAGAAACTTTGCTGATATCTGTTCGAGAATCTCGATTATGAACAGGTTTACAGATGAAAATTTTTAACCTAAATAAGATTTTATTGTTGATATAATAAAACAGAAATAAAAGAAGTAGAAAATCGTTTACATCTATTCGTAATAAGCTGAGTGCTTACTACCCCAGTGTCTCAATTCCTATTTACTGCCTATCCATTTTTTTTATGAAAACTCATTTTTTCGAGAAGAAAGAAAGTCGCCGACGGACATGGGAGTCTCCTGACGGTACGACTCATACAGAGGTCGATCATATGCTCAGAAACATTAAATGGTGCCCTTTTTGACACCCCATTAGTACGCGGATACTGAAATTGATCTGATAACCGACTTTTCATTTGATTTAGCCATAAACTGGAAAAGAACTGCCATCGTCCAAGAAAAAGGAGACAAACCTCGTGTGATGAAAATATTCTCAATAAACGCCTTTCCTTACATGACTGTTATATAAATGAAGACCTGACGGAGGACTACAGGATGCTCGTGGGAGGATATAAAACTTCTGCTGATCTCACGTCAGTTTTTCAAACAAGAAGTTAAGGCCGCATCTCCATTACCACTAAGGAGTTGGTCGAAAAGAGAAGGACTTTGATGCTTCACCCTACTGCAACACAGCTAACACGGCTGATGATAAATGTCAACTCTATAAGGTCTTTGCACGAGGATTTGTATAGGTGAAGGCACAAAAAAGAGACGCGTGTGGTGCAGTGATCGGAGGCACCTTGCAATACATATGTGGAATCGGCAAAAAGAACCATCATCTTTGCTCCATGCTCTTCCATTCCGCGTTTCTCTTGCCGCAGTCCACCTCTTAAAAAGTTTCGTTCATAAAATGAGAAATCTATTTCCAAATTAATCCTTTACTTTGATGAAGTGTTATGCTACACCATAAGTCATACAACTTTTGTATACACTAAAAAAGCTTTCAGTAACACAAGTAAAAGCGAGAACAAAATTCAGCTGGAAATTTTAACTGCTGTGAGAGAAGAAGAAACGTTGCCGAAAACGAAGCCCACAGTGTACCCCTATTCGAGAACATCCATGATTTTCTTCCGCCTGGCAAGAATTCGAAAATTACACATTCGCGCGTTGAACCTTACGGTCATTGTTAATGTCCGTAATGCGCCTTCTCATCAGTCGCAGTGAAAACTGTTGGTTATGAGAAGGCTTTAAGTATTTAGCCATGTTTGCAGAAGATAAGGCTGTTAACTTCCTACTTGCTGTCTATTATTGTCCCCACTGCATTCGCAAGACGTGAAATGCAACTACTATGGTGCTGAGATATTTTCACAACTTGTTTGCTAAAGGCATGTTCGTTGCATTCACTTGTGTTTCTCTTCATCTCAGTTTATTGTGAATGAGTGAAAAGCTTTCCTTCATGTTCTTTAAATGGGCAGAACCCTTGTTTTATTACCACTTTTCCACGCACTATCGAATGCTGTGGCTTTCCAAAGTAAAGTTCTTCCTTTTCGAGATTTTGTGATGCGTTACGATTTCCTTGTGAACTTCTATTTTTTGAATTCTTAGAAAAGTGGCTACTCAGCTCATTCTTAGTTTGTGATAAGCTGGTATACCGTTGTTAACGTGTACCTTTAATGTTCTTAGGCTTACGTTTCAGCCACTTCGTGAAGAACCTGGACGTATTCTTAGGTCTATCCGTATTATTAGCTAAATGTACTTTGGTCTTGAATACAATCCAGTACGAGAAGAATGTTACAGTCTACTAAAGAGTACCCAGCGGTTTCGTTTTATTAAAAGTGACGCAACCCGTTTGTCGTTAATGACGGGTGGCGAATGATCTTCAATCAGATGAGAACATAAGTCTGAGATGAGGTACTAAAGCGCCGTGTGACAGTGAGTCACTACCATTTCGTATCCATTTTTGAATTTTTGAAATTTATTCGAAATGCTGCAAAAGTTTTGGGCTCATCGTTTTTGGTCCTGGCTCGAGCTGCGACATGAAGGTCATCGCCGTTTTCTTCGTTACTTATCACGTAATCCCTCCCAATACATAAAAACACTGCTTTCTTCGACTTTCGAAGTAACGAGCACGAGATGCCGTATATCCCAAAAGTTTTGATGTCGCAGTAAGGATCCTCTCTCCGAACGCGAAAACGTCAATGCGCAAATTCTTAACGCATTTCGGATAAAACTGAAAATTTTGGGAACTGAGCGTCAAAAATAGGTGTTAACGATATCGTTCTGAAATTCCATTATTAACACCAAGGTTAATTTCAAGTTCTATCAGACCATGGAACTAGTTTGGCTTTAAATTTTGTGACGACTAGGCAAGAAACATGAAGTCCAAGATGACGGGTAGGGAAAAAATCTTGCCAAAGAAAAACAAAGGCAGAAAGTAGTGTAGAAGATGAAATGTCAACCGATCGCAGTGCAGTAGTGGAAGGCGAGCAAATTCATGGTCACTTTGTACTTGATTTGCTATTTTTTTCATTACACTTTTGTTAATTCTGCTGCTTTGAAGGGTTTGATTGTCGTCTTTCTAAGAAGCACTTAAATCTCATTATTTAGCGGGAAAAAATGTTGTTAGCTTAGCTGAGTTGCAGTGAGATCCAAAAAAGCTCAACCAATATGCTTCATCAGTCATGTGCTAGAAAAGAGCTGGTCCAAACTTCCACTGTTTTTTTCTCATTCGTTTGTGTCTCTATCTTCCGTTTAATTTAGTTCGTTGACGATGCCCTTTTTTCGTCGAAAACCGTGCTGGCTACATTATACTATAGAAGAGGTCCCACGCCACAGCATTGCTATCCAACTGACGACGAGAGCAGTAATGAAGAAGAGTTTGGAAGAAGTACCTGTATTCAGGTAGAGAAGTTTTTAAAGAAATTCTTCGAGAAAAGTACTGTTTTTGTAAACCATCATCTCATTGCATTTTGCACATTTTCTTGCATTTCTATTGTTTTATTTAGTGTTAACACAGTGGCACTATGAAGTGTTGTGATCGTTAGCGGATTGGTAAAATTCTTTGCAATGGATGTTCGAAGCCGAACCAGCGTCGTTTCCCTGGACTCCTTCATCAGTGTGAGCAGTGCCTGTAACGGGGAAGCTAACACGGTGTTTACCATCGGTGGCGAGGTTTCGTGTACAAAACTAAGATCACATAGAAAGTTTTGTCAAGTATTTTCTTCAGCTTGCATCATCGCTTGTTAGTTGTCCTCCTCCAACTTACTATTCGTCGCGTTGGCTCAAAATTTCTTTGTATGTCAGTGATGCTACGTTAGCCGTTTAACTTCTTTGTAAAACTGATAGGTAAATATCGATTAAGTGATGCCAAACGATCTTCACTGGTGGTTACATTTATTCCACCGTTTCGAGTTTTTCCTTCAATATTTTTAAGGAGGCACTTTTCTGTGCATAGAAGTGTGAACGCTGCTTGTTGTACTTTTCACTCGCTTTTTCAAAGACCCTTAGGGTAACATAGTACAAACACTGTTTGCTGTTTATTTGTTTTTGGGGTATTTCTCTCGCTTTGTTTTTTTACAATGCTTTCGACTAATGTCATCACGCTTCATGAAAAGTAACATTTTCTCGAAAGTGTAAGTTGGAATTTAAGGAAGTTAACAAGTGTCATGACATTTTGTCAAATGCGCTGTCACTATTGTGAAGAGGAAGTGTGTCATAGTCGCTAGAGATTCCGAAATGGAAGCTAAGTGTTCACAGCTGCCCACATATTCTGAGGTCAATCCGCTTATGGAAATCGATGGAAACATGGTGAGTGGATCGTTTTTGTTCCTGTTTGAATATATTAAGAGTATGGCGGGCACGATTTTATTGTTTTAGATGCTTTTTTTTGGATTGGTTAACTCTTCTTTTTCCTGTCTAGGAACCAGTTTTTAAGTTTCTTCATAACTTCCACAGGTGTTCACCACTCGTGTTTATATTTAGGTAACGATTATTTGTGGTGAAGCGGCATCTGGGAGGGCTACTCAAATCCATGTTTCTTTACGAAGCAGGGTGAGTGTTGCTCCAAATCGATGTCATATTTCAAATTTTGTCGCCAGCAAGTGTTCTTTTCAATGCCTAGGTTTTGTCTTAAAAGTTGTTCATTCCTTCTTGATTTAACGTTTCGGTGACATTTCATCGAATCTTTATAATGGTTTTCTTTCTGCCAACTACTGTTGCCTATTTCAGTTATGCAAGCGAGGATCAGCTTATAGGGATCTCTGAGCTGTTGGGAGTTCTATATCTGAACGTGTTGTGGGAGAATTAGGTACGCCTGATGAGGTCTAGTCAAGTATGAATTTGTATTGAAATCTGTGGAAAGCCGACACTTGTGATAAAGCTTTAAGTATTTAGCCATCTTAACAAAAGCTAAGAGTGTTAAGTTTCTACTTACTGCGCACTATTGTTTTCTAAAGCATCGGTGTGATGTGAAATATAGCCAATGTGGTGCTGAGATATTCGCAAAACTTATTTGCTAATGGCGAGTTCGTTACGTTCATTTCTGTTTTTCTTCGTTGTAATTTATTTGGACTGAGTGAAAATTACCGCTTTTCCTCACTTTATCGAATACATCCACTTCCCAGAGTTCTTCCTTTGCGAGTTTTTGTAGTGCGTGCAGATTTCCTTGTGAGGTTTTATTCTCTGTATTCTGAGGAAAACGGCGACTCAAAACGAGATGTTCTACGATCCTAACCTGGCACAATCTCATGCCGGCGGTATGGACCAAATGGTTCTCAGTCCTGTCGTTTCAGTTTCCATTAATTTATTTCACTTACTCTCTTTGATAAGCTGCCACAGGGTTGTTAACCTGTATTTTTGTGTTCGTGTTCGTTGCCTTACATTTTAGCCACTTTCCTTCCTGAAGAATCTGGATGTACTCTTGGCTTTATCTATAGTCTCTGCCAATGGTTTACCGCCTCATCGTGGCTGAGAGGTGTCCCTGGCAGCAGTGCTGCAATATACGGTGGCTGGATACATGCCTCCAACAGGGACTCCTAAGCTGAGAACGAGTCCAGCGTTTCCATCAGGAAGCCAAGCTAAGAGTAAGCCACTACCAGGATCTGTCACCGTCCTGGTACCAAACTAGTTGCATCTTGGCAAATCTTCCTTTGGTTCAAAAGGTCGGCGACTGCCTGCGGTGGTGACAACCTGGGGTAGTCTTTGGTCTGGCCGACCTCGGGCCTCCAGGGAACCACAATGGCTTAGCCAGTAGATCTTTGAAAAGTGGAGATTGTGGTGGGTCCCGCACAACCGGTCCTTCCTAATAAGTAGGTAATCCATAGTCTTAAATACAATTTGCATACCGTATGGGAACAGTGTTCCAGTCTATTAAAGAGTTCCCGGGAGTTTCATTTTATAAAGAGTGACGCAACCCGTGTGTTGTTCGCGAAGTGTGGCAAATGGTCCCCACTCAGTTGAGAACATAAGTCTGAGATGAGACGGTAAGCCACGTGTCACAGTGGGCCCTCGATACTTCGTATCCGTTTTTGATTTTTTGAAATTTATTCGAAACGCTACAAAAGTTTTGAACGCTAACGTTTTTGATATCGTGGCCCCCAGCTGCGACATGAAAATCAACGCCATTTTCTTCGTCTCCTCTTACATCATCCCTGTCAATATATAAAAACACTGCTCTCTTCAACATGAATGACAGGTCCGAGATGCGATGTATCCTAAAGGTTTTGATGTGGCAGTAAGGATCCTTGCATCGAGGTCGAAAGCGTCAATACGTAAAACTCTTGAAGCGTTTCGGATAAAACCGCAAGTTTTAGGAATTGAACATCAAAAGGTGGTGTTAACGATATCGTTCCGTAACTTCATTATTAACACCGAGGTTAATTTCGAGTTCTATCAGGCGGTGGAACTAGTTTGTCTTTAAATTTTGTGACGATTAGGCAAGAAACGTGAAGTCCAAGATAACGGGCAACTACCGGAGAAGAAAGATGGAATTGGTGGTGAGTAGGGAGAAATTCTTGCCAAAGAAAAACAAAGGCAGAAAGTAGCGTAAAAGATGAAACGTCAACCGATCGCCGTGCAGCAGTGGAAGGCGAGCAGGCTCGTGGTCACTTTGTACTTGATTTGCTACCTTTTTGATTACATTTCTGCTTATTTTACTGCTTGAAAGAGGCTTATTCTCATCTTTCTCAGAAGGGATTAAACGTCATTATTTTGCGAGAAGAGTTGTTTGTTAGCTTAGCTGAATAACTCTTGGATCCGAAGATGTTCAACCAGTTTGCTTCATTAAGTCCTATGCGAGATAAATGCGAGTCCAAACTTTTGCTGTTTTTTCCATTGGTTTTTGTCACTGTATTTTACTTAATTTAGGGGATTTCGTTATGAGAACGACCACTTCCCAGCTACGACAAAAGCATTTTATTTTAAGGCCGTGCAGCGTACATTGTTCCATCAACGAGGACCCACACCGCAGCATAACTATCCAATTGACGACGAGAGTAGAGGTGAAGAAGAGCTTGGAAGAGGTGATTGTACTCACGTAGAGTATTTTTTTTAAAGATATTCTTCCTCGTGAAAACTGCCATTTTCGCAAGTCATCATCTTCAATGCATTTTGTCTATTTTCTAGTATTCCTATTGTTTCATTTAGTGTTGACACAGTGACATAATGAACTATTGTGATTGTTAACGGATTGCTAAAATTCTTTGCTACAGAAGTGAGAAGCCGAACCAGCGCCTTATCCCTGGACTACCTCGACGAGCAGTGTAGGAAGTGCCTTTGACAAGGAAGCGAAAATGGCGTGCGCAATCGATGAAGAGGTTTCGGGTACAGAAATAGGGCCACATAGAAAGGGTTTCCTCAGGTGTGTCCTTTAGCTCACATAGCTCAGTTTGTTGTCTTCCTCTAACTTACTAACTCATCACGTTGCTTCAAAATGTCTTTCTATGTTAGTGAGCTTACGTCAGCTGTTAAACTTCTTTGCTAAAAGTGATAGGTAGATTTCGATTAAGTGATGCCGAGCGCTCTTTGCCATCATCTAATTTTTACATTTGTTTCACCTTCTCGAGTCTAAAGGCAGCTCGTTGTACTTTTCACTCTTTTTTTCAAGTGCCCTTACGGTAACTCAGTAAAACTTTGTTTGCTGTTTATTTGTTTTTGGTGTATTTCTCTTGCTTTGTTTTTAAAACGTGACTAATCCCATTACACCTCATGGAAAGCAATCCTTTCTCGAAAATGGACTTTGGAAGTTAAGGAAGTCGACAAGTGTCATGACAATTTGTGGAATGGACCAAAGACCATTGTCAAGAGGAAGTGTGTCATAGTCGCTAAAGCTTGCGTGGGCGCGATTTTATTGCTTTAGATGCTTTTTTAAAGCTTTGGCCTTCTCTTCTTTTTCCTGGTTAGGTTCCAGTTTTTCTGTTTTTTCATAACCTTCACAGTTGTTGACTGTTCGTGTTTATATTTAGGCAACGATTAGTTGTTTTGAAGTGGGATCTGGAAAGGCTACTTAAATGCATCAGTTTCTTCATGAAGCAGGGTGAGTATTGCTTCAAATCGATGTCGTATTTCAAATTTCAACCCCTGCATGCAACTTTTTTTTTCAATGCTTAAATTCCATCTTAAAAGTTGTTAAATTCTTTCTGATTTAATGTTTCGGTCTCACTTTATCGAATCTTTCTAATGGAATTCTTTCTGCCAACTACTGCTGCGTATTTCAGTTTTGCAAGCGAGGATCAGTTGAATGGGATCACTGAACCGTGGCGAGTTATGTGTCTGAACGTTTTGGAAAAGAGTTAGGTAAACCTAATGAAGTGTCCTATCAAGCATGAATAAGTAGCTTAAATCTCGATGTTTCGTTTTCACGTTCCTCATGAGCTAAGTATACCAGTATACTTGTGTACGTGGACGGTCCGTCCTAACTAGTTGTGTAGGCCCCAGCATAACCTCGATTTTTCGGAGTTCCTCTAGTTTAGCTATTGTTTCGCTGCAGTCGGCGTAACCAAAGGCTGCCCCGGGTCGTCGCTACCACAGGCAGTCGCAGCCCGTGTTGAGCAGAGCGAGATTTGTCATTATGCGACTACTTTGATACCCTGACGGTGGTCGATCCTAGTATTGGTTTACTCTTAGGCAAGTTTCCTGGAGGAAAAGCCGGGCTCCTTCTCGGCTTGGGTGGACTCTGCCGGAGAATGGAGACTCCGCTGCACATCACAGCCCGATGCCCAGGAACACCTCTCTGCCACAATGAGTCGGTAAATCGGTGAGAAGAATATACCACTATAGGAATAACAATGTAATTGTATGCATTACTTGGCGAAGTTCTGTGTTGTGTAGTTGAAGAATGAAACTCGACTTTATTTCGGAATTTTGTTTGGACAGTGGTTTTTTTAATAACAAAAAATGACGAAAAAAGTGTTTAAAAAATAGATTTTTTGTAATCGTAGAAAACTTGGAATTGGAATGCTTTAACGTTGAACTGAGACATATTCGCAATAGCGGCAAATCCCATTGATCGTCTTAGATCCAGTGGTTTTAAGTTCAAGAAGGAGTGAAATGTTAGAGAACATGTCACATCCTTTTAATACAGCACTTCTTAACGATTTCGAGACCATTGGAATTAGTTTCGATATGTGCGCTGGTGCACGTTTCCAACCGTACATCTTGATCTCAATGCGCCCTTTTTTTTACGGCCTATTTCGTTGCGCAGTGCTTTGTTGCCGGACTTTTTGTCACCGATATTCATTTTATGCCAAGACCAAGTCGAGGATATCTGTTCTCAGACACTACACTTACGAAAAGCTATTTTCGAAAATTAGAATGATATCGATGGGTATAAAAAACGTCAACGAAGCACAGAACTACACTTTTATTATCATAGGAAACCACGTGGAAGTTTAATGATACCGTGGTTATATAATAGACTAATTTTTTCTTTCATTGGACCCAAGAGCTAGATCACACACAAGAGGTGTCAAGGAAGATGGTAGCATGCACAGAAGAACAAAGTGGATGGTAGAACTTAAGAGACAGGCAGAGAATACGTGAGGGAACCAAGTAATTGGACGACAGACTTAAGAGTCGGCTGCATCATGCCCCTTGCCGCGGTTTGCGGTTAGTAGATCTTGACTTCAATGCACATTTTAAAGGGGCTCCATTGACACTGGTTCCGATGAGCTTGCCACCTGGAATGGTATATTGTGGTGAAACAGCTAAAGAGGAGGGTATTATATGATTAATGCTGGTTAGTCTATGTTCAGCGGTTAATACATTTTTTATGATGATTTACATGATTCATACACACACATAAAGTCATGCACACAGTGTACTTAAGGTGTATTTGTGTATAGGTATTATTTTTAGCACTTTCGTCATTATCAGTCCAGAAAAAGGCGCGTTTGCTTTTAGTTCTTCATTCTTCGGAAGTTGTTTCTCGGATCTTTTTGAGAGCGCTCGTGTTTTTGTAGGAGGATAAGAGGCGTCATGGTTTTTAATTCAGGAACGCATGCAAATGGGTGTTGATTGTGACAACTATCACATTCGATCACCACGTCTTGCTAAAATTGATTCATCAATCACTGTGATGCAGGATGGCAGCAGTTCATTACTGTATTATGATAATAATACTATTTATTTTGGCTTTTCATAATGAGTTAGTATTCGCCAGCAAATTTTCATAGGCGCAGGAGAAGCCAGACGTCACGTATACCGGTGTTGGAGGATGTAAAGGCCACATCGAGAAACTTCGTTGAGTTTTTCGTTGGGTCGTTAAGACTTCGCTCCTTCATGTTTGTTACAAAAAATTCTCGTGAACTGTAGTTCCAGTGGAAAACATGTTCTACAATTATTAGCATAATTGCTGATGGCTTTAGGCTGGACGTTTCGTAAACCTTGGTATTGGGCCACCGAAACGAGAGTTGCTCAGTGGTCCACCAGGAACAGGTATAACATGTACTCGTGCAGTTGCAAACGGGTTCGTGACTTTATTTCTTTTTTTGTCAAATTTTTATACTTGCTTCATACCATTGTAATAAAGGTTCTTCTACTTTTGATGGTTCATCATGTAGTAAGATCATCTTTGTTGTTTTATCTGCGTTTTATCATATGAAGTTCTCCTCCCGCCATACATTCCCAGGAATATCTTCCCGTCTCGAAGTGGCCTGGTGGTGTTTCTAGGGTGTCGGGATGCGATGTATAGCGTGGAAATCCATCCCCGGCAAGGTCTCCAACGCTGAGATGGAGTCTGGCGTTTCTATCACGAATCCCAGCTGAGAGTAAGCCAGTACTCCAGGATCCACCACCGTCCTGATATCAAACTAGTTGCATGGTGTCAAATCTTCTTCTGATCCACAAGGGCGTGAAGTACCTGTGGTGATGACGATCTGGGACAGACTTCAGCCGGCTAACCTCGGGACACCAGGAAACCACAATGATTAAACCAGTAAAACTCCGAACAATGAAGACTATGTTGGGATCTGTCCAACCAGTGAGGACGGGCCATCTAAGTGCACGAGTAAGTTTTACAGGAAGAAAGCGACTTTCTACGCTTGATCCCGTTGTGATTAAACCTGGTCGCTTAGGCTGCAAAATTGAATTAGCTCTTCCTGGCTCTGAAAGCAGAACAAGCATCCTGATAAAGGATAAAGGACAAAGCTGTCGGCGTTCATCAATCCATGAGGGATGCGCAATGCATTTAACTTCATTAAGTATCGTTGGAGGTGGTTGAATGCATATCTGGCCTTTACAATGACTCCCGGTGGCCTACCGATGTATCGAGCCAGTGCTGCTGTCATCCCAGACTGGTATGGTACCAATTTGCCGACTTCGGGGGAAGGAGGGGTTGGGAGGCTAGGGCCACGGGGATCGATTCCACGTGTATGTCGCAGTGGCGCCTCCAACCACTGCGCTCCGCGCTCTTACGTATCCTGAGGATACATGAAAATCAGATGAGTGTAGAAAGAGACGGATGTGATCTACTTGCTCGCCTCTACCCTGGACAATACCGGTAGTTCGTAATATCAGATAAAACGCAGATTATTTCGGAATTTGCTTTTTTAAGCAAATTTTGCTCATAGGTTTGACTTCTCGAAATAAGAGATCAGGGATAAATCTTCGGCTTTGACCATTCTCCAAAGAATTCGTCACACTCTTGACTTTACTAAGCAATGTTAGAGGTGATTTAATGCTTATCCGGCCTGTATAGTGACTAGCGGTTGCCGAACGATGTATCGCGTCAGTGTTGCTATTCTCACGGGCAGTACAGGTATCACTTTGTTGATACCGAATGATGGAAGGTTCGGTTAAACCAATGTGCAAGGCCGTGACCATGTGTGTATTGCAGGGCACCTCTATCCAATACACTATATCTGCCCAATTTATTTTTCATTTTTTAATATTTATTGTCCTATGATGTCGCTACTACGCGTGATTTAGGTCTTTTTACGCCTTCCGAAGTTAGGAAATTGTGTTTAAACCTGATCCCTAGAGTTCTGGTGATGTAACGTGGACAATACGATCAGTTGTCGTATCGTTAGTGTTACTAGTAGTTTGACGGTTTGTAATCCGCCGAGTTTCTAGCTGACGTCACGTTGACCTTGTTGAGTTTTTGGGAGTTTGAAAGAAATGACCGGTATAAGTACCTTTGCATTTTGTTCTGTTCAGAAAACTTGCTAATAGCGTTGGCTCAACAAAGTGGACGTGACGTGGCGCACGCTTCAACCATATCTCATTGAAGATTAGCGACTTCTTGACCGAGAGAATCGTGCAAATCTATGCACATTTATGTATAACGAAGCTCGATTTAATAATAGGAAGACCAGCAATCCCTTGTAATTCGTTGGTGATATAAAGACGTGAAATTGCAAATTTTTTTTCCTATTGTCAAGAGTCTTGCATTGTATGGATTACATTTCAGTTCTTGCAGGAAACGAAATTCGTTCCGTATCCACAAAGTTGCAATGTTTGCGAATCGCGCTCGTCGCAACGTCGCTACAGAGAAGAACTTTTGGAAGCAACTGGTAAGGTGGTTTTGTATTTAGTATATTTCACTTGGCCTTCAACGTTTATTCTAGCAAGAAGTGTAGAATGGTGCGCCTGGGTTTCATAAACAAAAATCACTTCAGATTATTTCTACAAAATCTTGAGCGAATTGCTTTGCTTTATGGTGAATTAAGAGGTGCATTTTAGAACCATTTGTCATAAATTTTACTCCAAGGAAAATTTGTAGCATCCTAAGGTACTGCTTTCGACTTCAGGTCATGAAAGAATGAGCGAAATCCAGTGGAATGTCAAGGTATCTTATGTGCGATTAAAAGGGGCTTGTGAAATTGTCGGAAACTGTATGTTCGATATATGCACAAAATGTGAGGCAAGTATTGGAAATTGGTCACAAATATGATAGAATGGAATGTCTGAAGGCTTAATCTCTTGTGAATTTAGCCGTTTAGAGATTACATACGTTGAGTTCAAAGCACAATGTGTCATCTGTGAAACTTAAGCAAAGAAAAGTACAGGGAAACAACAGGGCAGTCTAACTTAGTGTCACATTTATACACCAAACTTCGTAATTAGATGTAATATAAACCACGAAGAAAACGATCCTCCAGAAAAAGCTTTCTATATCAGAGAAGTAGTTTATAATGTCCAAGAAAGGTAATTCTTTTGGTAGTTACAACTTAAATGGAATGTGCCCACTATCTGTAAGTTACACATCCTTCTTAGAAGTAGACTTCAGTCACCTCGCGTTAGGTTGCAGAAATCTGACACTTCGAACTGTTCTATTTGGTCTGTGCTGCCTGATTCATCATTAAGATCGCATATGAATTGTGAGTCTCCTATGTAATTTGCTGGCTCATTCAGAGCACACGTAGACGCTGTTTTTGAAAACAATATAGATGCGAGAGCAATATCCAGACGTACGTTGGGTTACGACAAGAGTACAGAGAGTGACATCATAAAATCATTCACTTCTGTTCCAGTGATGTCATGCATATAGTTTTAATAACGCTAGAAACCGAAGTTGCTATGGTAACGGAGAAACAAAGCAGTATCTCTTCTGCAATTCCTCCTTCACGTCGTTTTTCATGTTTATTGAATGCTCAGGATACACGTAGGTGGTGACCACTCTAGTTAGAGAACCATCCATTTGAATTTTCTTGCTTTAGACAGATGTGTCCTTCATGAACTGGATGTTCATCCTATTTGTGCGCTTACCGATCCAATCCTTTTTCCACCTTCGTTAAGCTTATTGAACATTGCTCTGTTTCACTAGTATTCCTCAAAAGAAGGACGATGTCGTTAGCAAAATCGAGATTTGACAGGATTTTTCCACCAATCAATGCATACGCTGTTCACGTGTGGGAGGTCGATGAAGAAGCTGTATATTTGTGCTGCGGTTACGATAACATCCAGCTTTTGTTCATTCATGGGATGGGTCTACAGCTTGGCCGACACACACTGAAAGGATTTCGTTCCTTTTGTCGGCACACTGTCAAGCGCCCCTTCGTAGTCCATGAAGGCTGGAACAGGTGATGCGCTCAACCAAGTTTTATGGCTCGTAACATGGCTTGAACATGGTCCATTCGGCAGAATCCTGCTTGATGTGCTTCATTCGGAGCCTTTGATACGCGCAATAAAATGACCTTCGTGAACAACTTGTTGTATGCAGTCAACAACCATTATTGGGCAATAGTTACGTAGACCGCTTCGATCATCTTTCTGGGGCAGGATGGCTGTAACTATGATCACCAAGGTACCACATCATATGGTCTGCAAGGAGTACATGTAGTTCTTGGCCCACCGCTCGAAGGAAGTCAACGATGATATTCCATATTCCTGAATTGTGCTTCTTTTCATGTTTTCTATCGCAATTCCACTGCTAATGCATCTGCTGTGGCCCCACCCTAGTTCCGATGACGTTTTCACATGGTTTATCGGCTATATTGCAAAATTTAACCTTGTTAATGAGTACTGCCAAGGGCGCGTGTGGCGGAGTGGTTGGAGGCGCCACTGTTACACACACGTGGAATCGATCTCCACGTCCATGATCCATCAAGCATTCCATCCCTCCGGGGTCGGCAAATGGGTACTAGACTTGTCTGAAAGGATAGCAGCACTGGCTCGATACATCGGTAGGCCACCGTGAGTCATTGTAAAGGCCAGATATCCATTCAATCACCTCTGACGGTACTTAATGAAGTCGAATGCATGGGGCATCTCTCAGGGATTGATCAACGCCGAGAGCTTTATCCTTTATCCTTTATTTTAATGTTAGAAAATCATTATTATACGTATGTTAAAGAATACCTTCGCTATGAAGTATATGAAAGGAAAAGTAGAAATATCTGGAAAAGGTTCTGAATTCATGAAAAATTTTGAATTCTTCAAATTTCATCGTGACTCGCTTTCACACATATCATGAGGATCCCAGTAATTCTCGAATTCTTATTACTTTAGTCACATCCATCATGCAGGAGGATCTTCGTGTTCTCATATAGATTCGGTTACTACTGAAGGATTTTCGGTCTTCTTAATGAATGTCGTTGTGTGTTGGTCGTATTTTCTCATCCTACGAGAAAGTCAATATTGGGATAGTCGTTTCAGCGTTTTCTAGATCTTGTGAATTTTTGTGAGCTTTTGAGTATTCCAGTACCAGTTTTTCTAAGAGTGAAGAGTGGACGACTAGGTTGACTAAGAAGTGGTTGAACTTGTGCCTTGCTCCTATTGAAAAGCATCATTTTCACTGGGTACTCAGACTTCAATTTCCGAAAATACACAAATGTATATTTATATATCATTGTTTTGTTTATCGCGACGGTTTCTGATACGTAGAGATCCGATTTATTACTTTTTGAACAAATTCGACCTTAATGCAAATAGTGGAATACAAAAAATAATAAAATAATAAAAATAGTAATAATAAAGTGAAATAAAGAAATAATAATAATAAGAATAATATAATACAAGAAATATTAATCAAATGCCTCTACTAATCTTGCTAAGTTTCTCTATAATACTACGATATACAACTGCTCAAAATGCTTCTCGCGGACCACATCTAGCAAGAAAGTAACTGTGTTCCATAGGATATTGATTGAATGCAAAATAGAATACATGTGTGAAATAAACTCTCTGCCGCAAAAATGTTAAACCGAGGGCGGGAATGCCTTTGTAATACACCAAGGATGAAGAAGCAATGACCAAATCAAAATATTTGGGTTATGGTGGTAAAGAACCAAACGCTCTTTTCCAAAGAACCAAGGTCTTTTGTTTGCGTTAGAACGTCAGAAATAATAATACTATACTTTCATATAAATAGGGTTGGAATCGTTATCCCTTTTTACACAGACTTGTGTCGGGTTCGCATTCGGATCCTTATCACCTCCTAGAATGCCATCTCTGTTCTATTCAATTTTCCTGTCAGCACGACTTAAATGGTAATTCCATTAATAACTAGTATGACAGCATTCTTTTAACTTTGAGTGTGTCGCATTTGCTTTTTTAACATAAGAAGAGAACCAGAAACAATCAATTTTTAAGACACAAATACAATCGGAGCTGCTTTTCTGACAACTGATAGTTTTTTGATATGAATGTGTCGTTTTCTTATTCAGCAATTGCGAGGTTTTTAAAGAGCATACATTTACTTCCATAGAAGAACACAATACAATACAACACTAGCTGACGTTTCGGCAGTATCGCCCCGTTTTTTGATAGGTGCAGAAAATTGGGGAGCTGTGAGTGGACTTTGCAGTGATGATCTAAGCGTCTGTACAGTTCCTCAATATGTTATTTTATATCTAGAGATGTTTAGAATTAAAATTTTCGAAAAAATTTACGAAATTTTAGCCTTTAAAATCTCTGCCTGAAAACATCTGCAAAAATCTAGAAGAACAGTGAACCAAAATATGCTTCTACTGCGCTAAAACCTGGAATTTTTTTGCGAGAGAGTGAGAAAAGCTCCTTGTTGTTGGCAAAAGATGTGTATATCTAATGGTTATTTCAATTAAAACAGTTTACTGGGGTCAGATATGTTTCTTAAACGTTTCTAGGATCAATTATTTTTTGATGCAAACGAGTGGAAGTAAATGCACATCGGCCGCCAGTGTTAAAGAAGGGAAAATGACTAGGCCCGAGAGTATGTAAAAATAGTGGTCCACAGTAGTGTGGGAACTCGACATAACAACACAGATTTTTTCCACAAGTACGGGACAAGTAAGGTTCGTACGGTTTTGTCAAGCATTGAAGCATCCTATGAAAACTAGAAGATGTAAACACACTTCTTCGTATGGTTGGAATCGAATTTGTAAGTGCAACAGCCGGAAACGGTTTGGTGTATGGAGAAATTCCGTCATACGAAAAGGAAAGTCTTTGTCGGTAAAACGAATGAGTGTGAAAACAGGTGAATATCAATTACATAGCTCTCATCGAGGTGCTAGTATCACCCGTTTTAGTAATAAGGCGACTGAATTGAACCAGCACGAGTTGTCCAGTTCGTTTCTGCACGCTAGCTAGTCACGAACAGCATTGCACCATTTGACACATATACCCTCAAACGACGCCGTACCCTTAAACAGTGTGTGAAACTCGGCTGGCGTAATCCTCTATCCGTTTCTGCAGTTACGTTTGTCAATAAAGTCATATATTAGAGAAATAGGAGACTGGGTCCACAGTGAAGTTTCGGCTCAACCGTTTATTGTAAAATCTGCTTATAATCATTTTTCAGATCGAAGGTGTTCTTAATTACGACTATTCAGGCTAAGATTCAGTCAGCTCAACCATGTAGTGGTCTCGGAAATGTTTTCGAAGAAGATGGTGAACCAGCTGAAGCTCTTGAAAATTACAAATATGCCATCAGTTTGAAGGTATAGTGATGTTCAGTCCTCCTTCTTATCAACGTATAGGAAAGTTTATGAGTCCATGAAATTTGGATCTACAATTATACTGTTATTTTAATCTAGAATAAAATAAATTTAGAATACCCGTTATTGGGCCTAACGTTATTGATGGCTACATTAAGCTGGCTGCATCTTGATCAGACTGTTGCTGCTTACCGCAATGCCATTATTTACAATCCGGTTAGTTTTCTTCACAGGTTTATTGCAATGACGAATAATATGTGCTTTTTAAGTTTTACTATTTTTCCAGTTACTTATGGAACGTTCGGGATTTTTCTTTTAATTCGTGACTGTCTTGTACGAGATATACTGCGTGCCTATAGAGTGATTTGGGAAATTTGTTGAAGACTGTGGCTCGATTGCAAGGTGCGGAAATATGTTTTGTTTGCTCTTTTGCAAGAACAATTGCACTATACATAAGTGACATTTTTTTATTTAGATATGCTGTCTAGAAGCATATAGATATGCTGTCTAGAATTTAGACTCTGCTGCAGTTTCCGGTAGCGTAGTCAAATCGTGGTTGTGGATTTAATGCTAAGAGTGAAATCTGGTCAGCGATTCAGGTTCTCAGAAGGTTTGCTCCAATATTTGTTTTGTTTTGTTCCTGAGCCGTCCAGCTAGGTGTTGGCCTGCTGCGGTAATTTGAAGCGACTATGTTGGATGGACGATCCGGAGCTCTCGCTTGATGCTCTGTGCGGCTGACTTTACATTAGCAAAACTCGGGCCCCAGGCCAAATTCGAATCCGCGATTTACCTTTCTTGGGGCTCAAGTGTAACCAACTGCACCAACGAGGCCCTTGTTATGTCTTTCTGTCAGCCTGTTTTTACCCTAACTATACTATCATCAATAACCCGTCAACGGGAGTGCTCTGGGAAGCACGAGGCGGTATTGAACTCAGTCAAGCTGAGGCTGTAGTTGAAGTCACAATGTACGGCTTTTTATGAGCCGCGCATTATTTCTTTATGCCAAGTTATTATGCGAAAAACAAGTGCAGTAGTGCTCACACATTTTCAAAACTCAGACTCCAGGTCTCAATTTTCAGGCTCAATTTCACATAATAACATGCCATGAAAGAGTACCAGACAGTAAATAGCAAGTTCTACATTGTAACTTTATAGTACTACGTAGTGCACTACTAGCATTTTTGCGAATATTAATTATTGCATCGCTGCTGTTAGATTTGAATCATGGTTGACCAAACAGATATTCAATTTTGGTTCCCAACAATGATTTTTTTTCCAATTCCCAACTTATTCACGGTTTTTTTTTGATCACTGGTGAGAATTTTTGGATAGCTGTGGCCATTGAGGAGTCAAGAACTTAATAAACTTATAAACTGTATTTTCCCTCGCCGCTCAAAGATTCTTATCGCATTTCATAAGGCAGCTAATTTTATTTTTTGGTTTGGGATATGTTTCCTTGTCGCGTAAACTGTGAAGTATTTTTTGCCGTGATAATCAACGTATGCCTTATATGTCATGAATATTTCCTCCAACAGGTTTTTTGGAGTTGATTGTCATTTAAAACTTTTTATTTTGTGTCTTCCTTGTGATTTAGCCATTCACGTAAGTCACTAGGGTTCCCAATTTCGCTCGACTTCAATGAAAACCAGAAATTACTGCAAAAAGCAGCATAAAATGAAGTCATCTTCACAAACACTTCATTATTTCTGCTCATCGCTACATTCCAAAATTTGTCTATTATATAATTACTGCGCAGTCTAGGGGAAAACCTTTATTCACAAGGGGTTAACTTTAACTTTCTGTTGTCTAGGTTGTTTTTTTTTTTCCCGCATCGTTTTCTTCTGTTGTGCTACCGGCTTTTACATACATCCAGAGCTTGCGGCTACATTTGGCATCGATGGGCTATCAACAAGAGAAGATCCAGAAAGCTCTTCCGCATTGTGAGGTACAGAATTCGCTTGTATATTTTTGTGCATTAACTTCTGCCAACCTCCGCAAGAGTATTTATTTTCAATGAAAACTTTCTAATGTGGGTGGTGTTCGTTGGTTTTCCTGACTACAGTGGAGGTTTTCTCGTTTATTTGGTGAATAGGAAATCCTAGCTGTAAGTAAGGCCATGCCAACCAAACTAATAGGTGAAATAGAATTTATTTGAACAGCAACTTTTGGTTGTCTAAATCCTCTTCAAACACGTACTTATTTTTCTCCTTGTTCTGTCCGAAATCGAGTGCTGAAAGTTTATTCAAAATCTGATCAGTAGATTTTAGAAATTTTCAAGTACCACATAGCGTCCTTTGTTTGCTTAAGTTTTGCTTCACAGTGAAGCGCATGTGCATAAATACTGTGCTGCCGGAGACATTGACGTGAAGCGAATAGTGTTCAGCCATGTTGCGGCAAAGGCATATACTTTCTCTCATTTTCATTTGTGTTACTGAGAACTTAAGGCTACCTGTGGGTGGATATCTGGAGTTTTTTAGTGGACATACTTTTTTCGGATTCACAATGGTAGTGGTTACGAAGCACTTCGACAACCTAATAATTTGAGCTCATAGAGTGCGAAATAGGAAAGACTTTGATTCACAGGAAATTCTTCCTTACTGAAAATGTTTTTCATCTTTTCGTCAAGAGACCAAGTCAGCCCTATTACGGGAATCACTGCCGTCCTGATGACAGCCTAGTCACAAAGTGCATATCTCCCTCCAGTTAGAAATTGCCTGTCATTTTTTGCGTTGAAGGCCGAGGTAATCCAAACAACGGCCATTTCGGGATTCAGGGAAGAAATCTTGCGCAGCTAGGAATATAGCACTGGAAGTTGTCTCGAAAAACATCAATTTTAAATGGAAGTGCGCGATTGATGTGTCACTCGTCAAAAAATTTATTTGATTCGTTGCTATTTTATGTCATGCGACAGTTTTTATTTCAGTTCAGGTTGAGCCTATTCAACTGTGATACTCAGGAGGAACACGTTAGACGAGGTTAGTCCGTATACGTTTGTTGGAATACACCACTGTGTAACAGTGATGTGACTGGTATGGATTTGGTCTGGATGGGAACCCCGATAGTAATCATGTCATGCATGTTTGTTTTTAAAAATTAAATAAATATATACATTTTCCCAATGGTTTACCGCCTCATCGTGGATGGGAGGTGTTTCTGGGTATCGGATTGCGATGTATAGCAGGTGGATTCATCTCTCAGGCAGGGTCTCCAAGGCTACGAAACTAAACTAATACCAGGATCCACGACCGTGCTGGTATCAAACTAGTCACATAGTAGCAAATCTCCCTTTGATCTACAAGGGCTGCGACTGCCGGTGGTGGTGACGACCTGGGGCGGAATTTGGCCAGTCTGACCTCGGGATTCCAGGGAACCATAATGGCTAAATCAGCAAGTCTCCGAAAAAGTGGAGATTATGCTGGTTCGCGCGCAACCATTGAGGACGGGCCACCTAAGTACCTAGGCATGTATATGTGATATGATTTGTAAATTAAGGTATGTAGACGCATGTTTTGTGTTTTACTACGCCGCTATTATGTTCTGTAACTGTCAATGGAGGTGAGAGCAGTTTTAGTGGAAACCTTGGCACCTCTGTTTCTCCATGTCAATTGAAGTCGAAAGATTACGTTAGTATCGCTGTGGAGCTTGGTATGGGCAAAAACAGATAAGTTTAAGAACTGTTCTATGAGAGATTCTTTCGACTGGTGGTGGAAAAGCATTTTCCCTCGTAGTGATAATCTAATACTTGCTTTTCCACTGCTCAGAGCTGTGGTGGAATAAACAAACGGTGTTGTCCCAGTAAATCGGTCAAGGGATGAGGGAGAGATTTTGTTAGGAAATAGAAGGCAGTAATCTTTAAAACCGATTTATGTACACAGTTCATACTATGTAGAAGAAGGAAAAACGCAGAGAAAGAGTATTGAACAATAAAATGGAAACGTAGAAAAAAAAGTGCAGTATAGAAAAATACTTAGTGCGGTTATTTTTGCAGTTCTCTGAGTGGAATAACTGCCGACGTCGTCTAGAAATGTAGGCTTGGTTGAGAGTCAATTACTTCTCAAACACAATTGATTTTAGCTTGTCAACAATCTGTCCAGTAGTGTACAAGGCTGAAACTACATCCACATTGCTCAACGTTGAGCTGTACTGCATGGATATGGAATCTTTGCTTCACATCATGTGGAGAGGTTGGTCGTCCTGTGGACCCTGTCACCGAAGTGGCAACCCAAATACATTTCTGGTCAGAACGGAATACTGTCTTGTGATCAATACCACGACCATTCATTTTTATGACGTTCACGTTCTGCATCTTATCCATAGAGGAATTCATTCACTGAGTTCAGAAGTTGGCACTGTCGTTATTATAAGCAATGTATAGGTTTTGTTTCGTTTTTTGCTTTTTATTGCAGTAGTGGTTTTCCTTAAAATCATGTTGTCGCCGTTATCTAAACAGTTAATCGGCATGAGTCGCGAGTTTTTCTTTTGAACAATTAGTTTTTCATTTTAAACAATAAGTAGAAATATGTGGACTAACATTTTTGACCGAGGCATTGTGTAAAACGTTTAGCCTTTCTGAGGCTGCTTGGAAGATTTACCATCTGAAGTCCAGGGGAATATGCTGAGCTTATTTTTTTACGACTTTGCTACCTTGTTATCGTCTGTTTTTCTCAATATTTCTGGAGAGAACCATCGTTGGAAGTTTATCCAGTTTAAGTAATAGACCATACAATCTTGATCCGATGAATGTGATTGTTGTCGCCAATATTGGTGGCATCGTTGTGTTCTAGAAAGGAAAGAGTATCTATCCTCCGAAATATCTGAAAATAACATAGTTGACTGTTGCATAGGACATTCCTTGAACTTTACAATTTTTGTGTTAACTACTATAGGAAGAACACAACGCTTTCAACAATTTTTCGAGCAAGAAAATCGGATCGTAGTAACAAATATTAAGTAACAGGGTTATCCTTTTCTTATATGATAGAAGCGACAGTGATTTACACCTTCCTTATGCTTGGAAACTGGCTTAGCTATTGAATAGGTGGGCTATTCATCCAATCGTTGATATACTAGTTAACAATCATCATGGTGGATAGCATTGTATGATGTTACCGGTTTGTCAACTATCTAGTTCTGTCTTTCATTTAAGGTCTCTTAATTTCTTGAAGTCACCCCAAGTGTATTGCAGAAATGCCCTATTTGACATGTATACTTACCTCATGCTTGAATGACGCATCCTCACTAATTGTGCCGACCCCATCTTAATCTCCATTTTTCGGAGATTTTCTGGTTAAGTTATTGTGGTTCCCTGGAATCCCTAGG